CTGTAGAGTAAGCAACTCATGGACAGATATTTGACAGAGAAAGCAAACTAGCTTGTAGACGTGTTCAACGCAAATATGACACTGAATATATGAAACTGTGTGGACCTTGACCTAATGACTAAGGAGAAATCTGGACCGCTTGAGAACCGCTGGTCTTACACATTAACCATCGCTAAAATTGCAACTTGACGTATTTACGCTTCAGTTTTTGTGTTTTGTAAACAGTCACAGTCTAATATGTTAATTAATGAGTTTTAGAGGAGCTGGTTTGCAGACTTTGTCACCTTTGGTTGCCGCAAAAGTATAAATCCCCCTTGAGTCTCTGCAAAAAAGTAATTTTCCCAAAATGTCCAACTATTCCTATAAATGTTGTGTAACACAAGCAGTCATAAAAGAACTCTCTGCTTAAATAAAAACAGGATAAATATGGAGAAGAGAATGAATCTGAGCATTTGATACCACTTTTCAGAAATATGTCTGTACCATAGAAGTGTTACTGTTTTGTATTTAGCCTTAGTTTTAATATTGCAATGTGTCAGATAAATAAAATCCCTGTGTATGCATCTTAAATCATCAGAGTTAAGAAGCCACAATGTGAGTCTGCATGAGTGTTGGGGGGGGGGGGGGTAAGTTTCTGTGTGTGTGTGTTTTAAGGGGAAAGAGAGAGGAAGACATCAATCAAAACTCATTTCAACCCTTCTCATATCTCTCCTAACCACACACATTGAAACACCAGAAAAAAAAATCCGCTGCCAGAGACAGAGTGAGTTATAGAGCGATGGATAGATGATGGGGGGGAGCAAGAGAGGACAGAGTGAGAGAGAGTGAGAGAGCACTTTCTATTTATAGCCTGTGTGCCCGGAGAGGAGGAAGACTGTTGTTCGAAAGCACACTTGGTGCGTATGATTTTGTTCTGCAGTACACAGGCTGCCGCTCCAAAGATGCAGGAACAGAAACATACAGTAAATACACGCCATACAAATTATAAACCATGTGGGTGGTAAGACGGGGTCATTACTGGGATAACGAATGGCTGTTTGAAAGGCTGATGAGAGGAGGGACATGATTGGTCCAGTAATCATCCTCTTCGTCCCCCTATGAGGCTTACATGGAATAGAAATTACCTCTGTGTGCTTTGGGTGTGCATTTAAGTTCATGATCATGTGTGCACATAGATTCTCTGCGTGCAAGCTGTCATTCACTGACATTATATTTAAGCAATTAAAGCAACAATGGGGCTCAGGGATAGGTAATTCATGTAACTCATTTTCCCCCTCACTTACGCAGCCTTCAGGCCAAAAGATTCCCACTGAGATTCAGCAATTATGCCTCACAAAATATGACATGAACACACTAAAGGAGCTCTGTCATAACAAAGGTAACACTGGTCTGTAATGCTTACTCACCGGTGTACGGAGCACTCTTGTGGTTCACGCTAAAAGCTTTTTCTCAGCAGTGAAGATTTTAGTTGGTTTCACTTTTAGAGCAGAGACATCTCCTGCAGAGTCGAGTCATCTGTCGTTTATCTGAGCTGGAATTTAGAAAACAGGATTTTAATGATGATTGTTGGTGAAAGCTAAGTCGGTAAATAGGAGGGGTGGGGGGAAAATAGATACAGCATAGTATCACAATATTTTTGTGTGGTAAAAGTATTGATTTCTTTATTATATAAGTTATTAATATTACAAGTACAAATTAAATTTTAGGTAGCCTACTGAAAAAATATGATCATTTGTCTCTTCAGTCCAGAGAGAAAAAAAATGGCTGAATGAGATGAACAGACTGAAAAAAATTCAGTGGAAATGCAGCAACTCACATGTGTGGTGTGAGTTTGGGTGGAAATGTTGTATTGATTTTTTTTAATCGCACCAAAGCACATTTTGCCGGAGGGGATGCCAGGTACTGGAGACAGTGTGGGTTTCAGGAAGCCAGTCACTGGCATGTATTCTGGTAGTGTCCAGTGATCAGACCTTTCTGGACAGAATTTCATAAAGCAGTAAAAAAGAAACTTAACACTGATCTTCCTTTGCAATTTTCTACATTATTTTTTAGGATGTTTGGATTTTAACCAAAGCGTTTTGACAAATATATGTTTGGTATTTTGATACCTGCCCTCGCAAGGCACTTGTTGCTTCCTGAACGCCCCACATTAGAGGAGTGGATAGATATTGTAAATGATATTTATGTTAATGAAAAAATGACCTTTTCTCCTCATCTTCAGAAAAATATGTTCATTAAATTCTGGGCGAAGTGGGTGAAAGACCCACCTCATTTACTGCTATTCTATTTTATTTATTTAATTTTTTTGTCTTTTTAATCAAGTCTCCCCGACATATGGTGCTTATATGTACGCTTAATCTCCCCCAAAATGTTCTACGAAGTTCTTAAATTGTGAAAAACAATTGAACAGCAGGAGAAATTACTTAATCATATTTTATGTCTTGCTTTGTAAACTGCTGTCAAAACACAAAAACAAATAATAATTTTAATTTTAGCATTATGACAAAAAGTCATTTGATTAACTGTTTCTATATCCTTTTTTGACAGGACATCCTCTCTTGGTATTGTAATATTTATGACATTAAGATTGACCTTGACCCATTAATTGCCTTGTTTGGTTGTTCTGAAGCTTCTCTTGCTCTGTTACATACTGTACAGACGTCCCTGATGGTGGGCATGTTAGTAGCAAAGAGGATTACTCTTAAGGAATGGAAGGCTGCCAGTACTCCCTGTTTCTCTAGATGGCTCTAGATTTTTTGTTCTGTTTGTCTGTCTTTTTGCTATATCCTGACAGTAGTGCATGTGGCCGATAATCCATAATCCTCATAGTGCTTCTAATGGTATTTGCAAGAATCACGAAAGTAACCATTTTCGAGCCACATTCAGAGACAGCAGCTGTCAAACATTTCAATCACTGCTCATAAACTGTGCTCTAACTGGCAGCGCTGATCAAATATGAATCAAACTTCTGTTACTGCATTGCCCATTGCTCATCTCAAACATTTTCAGAAACATATTTTAGTGTACTGTTTAGCTGTAAAATGAGAAAGTGTATGACCCAGCTGCCATGTTGAAAACAGGCGAGCCAAAAGAAAAGTCTCATTTTAAAACGTGTTTCTGAAAACATTTGAGGAGACAAACAGGCAATGCAGTAACAGAATTTTGATTCATATTTAATCAGCGTTGCCAGGTATGACATTTTGATGGCAGTTCACGAGCCGTGATTGACGTGTTTGACAGCCGCTGTCTCTGAAAATGGCCTGTGATTGGCCAATGTCTCCCGTCACTGGCTAGATTTTCAAAGCCTGAAAACAGAGCCAAGCAGACGTGCAGAAGTCAAGTGTTCTCACAGACTGTCCAATAACGCCAAAATTAAACTCCCTACCTGAGCTTTAAAAACATTTTATACAGTGCTCAGCTTTATTTTAATTATATTTACTTATTTATACAACAGAACATACATCCAGCTCCTACAATGTGTATCTTCCTAAAATGAGGAAAAACTCTGCGGAGGTCTCACAGTAAATGCTGTAGTGTATGAATTAATAAAGACCTGTTATTTAGTTATTTATTTGGATCCCCATCAGTCAGCTACTCCTCCTGGGGTCCACACAAGCAAACATTACATTATAGTGTAAAACAAAGATATAATTAAAAATCCTAGGCAAAAAGAAAGAAAATACAACAAGAAAACAGAAAAACTAAACAATCAAAACCAATAAATGAACCACAATAAAACTACTAATGGCACTATTACAACAATGACAACAAGTATTCTCACTCTATCAAAACTGTCAGAAAAAAATAATGATTTTACAGCTCAAAGGTGATTGTAATTCTACGAAAAACAGTATGAAAAGACCAGGAAAGTTTCATTTTAACATTTGTACAGTCAGATATGTTATTTGAAATGGGCAGATGTTCTGTGCCATCAGGTATCTCTTTAACCTCTCTTTAAAAACACCTGCACTTGTTACATATGTAGTGTCCAATCCATAATTTCATTCCTTTGAACATTACAGTGCATTGCATTGCATTCATTTTTGAAACAGGAAGTGAAAAACAATCTCTTGCCGCATGCTCAGTATGAATTTTATAGCCGTTACTACTATAAAAAAAGTGATGCAAGAAAGGTCAATAATGAACCTCTAAACTGTTGAGTTTAGAGGTTCATTATTGACCTAGCAAACGCAGTAACATTTGTTCACTTGAGCATTTTTAATTGTGCGCAAATGAAACAAGATACAACATGTCAAGTTTTAAGTTTATTTTTTTATTGTTGGACAGAGCCACGCTAGCTGTCTCCCCTTGATTCCAGTCTTTGTGCTAAGCTAAGCTAATCACCTACCGCCACAAGTGTCATACTGAACACAGACAGGAGGGTGGTTTTGATCTTTTTATCTAACTTTCAGAAACAAAATTAATGAAAATATTTCCCAAAATGTTGAACTGTTCCATAGCTGCAAATACAAAACACAGTTGGATTTGACTCCTCACAGCTCTTCACAGTTTCTTTGCTAACCTCCTTCTAACATGTACACACAAACTTTTCTTGCCTTTGCAGACTTGCTGTCTCTTTAATGGAGGCTGGGTTAGTAGCACCAGTTATTTCCAGCTCCTCTCGGTGGGCCTATAAATAGAGCACACACACACACACACACACACACACATTCATACACACACACATTTTTCTCTTCCTCACCTCTGTGTGAGGTGGTCTGGTTTTGACGCCCAGGTGTTTTTTAGCTTTTGCTAATTTTATGCCTGCGAGCTCTACCTAATAATGCTGTTTGTACAGGAAACAGCCACTGATACACTGCTGCACACACACCTCTACACCTGTTGTCTTTGTTTCAGTGATTCACTGTACTTTACTGTCATGTTTGGGCTCCTTCATCTCACTGTCTTGGAGTCACTGATCACATTTGGCCACTGTTAAAAATTTGGTGCATGTTGTAATTTTCGGTTTTTAAAAAGCATTTTCCTTCCTCTCTCTGCAGCATCAGACAACAGCCAGAGATTTCAGGAGACGTGTTTCGCCTTTGCATTAACGCCACAGCAAGTCCAGCAGATCAGCAGCTCGATGTAAGATGAACGCCGTTGTCAGTGCAGGATGCGCTCCATGAATAATTCAAACATGTACATGCTTTCTACAGATGTGTGCTGATATATTTGTTTCTGTGCTCAAAGGGACATCTCGGGGACCAAATGTGATTTCTCAGTTCAAGTTCAGTTGCGGTTTTGCCTGTCGGAGACGAGCTGTCCTCAGGAAGACCATTTTCCACCCAATCTGTGTGTGAAAGTCAACGGGAAGCCATGTAACCTGCCGGTGAGGCGCTCTGCATTAATCACATAAACAGCCAGCAAAACACGGTGTCTTTATTCCACCACTGTATGACTGTTGTTCCACCTTTTCTGCCCTGTGTTAGTGTTGAATCCATTTTCTTGAAGAACGTCAGAATTTAACCTCTTAATATTCGCAACAACTTTTCATCTTTTTCCTTTGAATATTCATGTCTGTCTTTTAGGGTTATCTTCCACCTACCAAAAACGGCGTAGAGCCCAAGCGGCCCAGCCGGCCCATCAACATTACCTCACTGGTCAGATTGTCCACCACAGTCCCCAATACCATTGTGGTGTCGTGGACCGCTGAGATTGGAAGGGTAAGAGCCAATGTTTAACAGGGACTGTTGAGCTTTTGATGATCAGGGAAAACTTTGATAAGTAAAAAAGTTATCTGATAAGTAGGGGTGGGGGGAAAAAATCAAGTCTTACATGAATCCCGATGCGGAAGTGGACAATTCGGCATCAATTCACATATGTCAATTATCAATTATATAAATGTTTGCATTCAATGAGAGGAGCTGCAAACAGCGCGTAAACCGGCTGACCAGCACACACTGTGGCATTAACCAAATTAAAACACCTCTGTGGTGAAGACAAAAACTCTCTGTTCAGTCTGTTTTGCCTAAAAACCCTGTGCCTAGCCTGCCCAGTGTCTTGGCTTTCACCAGCGCTAACAGAGAGAGAGAGAGAGAGAGGCTGCTTGCAGCTCCTCTGCTGGCAATAACACAGCAGCTGCGGCGGAGCATCCCCCCCTCCCACCTCCATGTTATTTGTACACACACACAGGAGACTGCATGGTGCTTTCAGATTCATTAATTCATTCATCAATGTAGTTAACTTTTTAAAATGAAAAGGATACGGACCACATATCATTGAATAGAGCGTGCAAGCACTAGACCATACGCGGGCCTGTGTATATCCCATATATATGTATGTCTCACAATGGACAAGCGTGAGCATCCGCAGACGGATACAATCCGACTGGCACCCCCTGGTTCAAAAGTGAGGGTATGGAGGGAGGTTAAAGGGGAGAGTGACCTGGACAAGAGCCACACTGTATGCAAGTTAAATAATCTGTTTATTTAATTATGGATCACCAAAAATAGAGTCTGCTATATTTTAAAGAAAAGAGAAAAAGAAATCATGTTTAAATCAAACATTGTGATGCATTGTGATGCATCGATAATCTGAATTGTGATCGAATTGAAAAGTGAGGTGCCTGGAGAATCCCACCCCTACTATTAAGTAAAATTACTAAATATTTTCTGATAAAGGTTTCTCATACTTAAAGATTTGCCTGCTCTTTTTTGTTTCCTGTCCTTCTAAATTCAATATGTTTGCGTTTTAGGCTGGTAATGGAGACAAAGTAGATATATTTGGAGATATTACTTGAGCTTTTGGTGACTTGTGATCTGCTTTTTTGTCATTTAATGTAAGTTATGTTGATCATACAAAGAATTATTTGAAGCTCTGATTATCATCTTTAATCTATCCAATTACTCTAATCAGTGTATCACTTAATCATGCACATTTCTGTCTGCACCCGCTGATCTTTAAATAACAAATGTGTAATATTTATATGAACTCTTTACCTTAAGAAGTTAAGATAGACCGTGTAAAAAAACCCTGTAAAATAAGATTCAATGAGGTGCTGTCTGCTGTCTTGTGCTGACATGGTGACGTGTTACAGTGACAGACACACAGACGCCACCGCAAAAACAAAACTTCTACAAACATGCGACAGAAGAGAAAACAGTCTGCAGTCTTCTGTTATATACGGCAGCTTTAAATTCAACATCCTGCCTACAGTGCTCGTGTGAATAAATGGTTGTGTGTGTGCATCACATGCATGTGTGTGGGAAGTGGTTTGAAGCCCAGGAAGTGGGATTTCTGGCCACGACTGTGTTGAGTTCTTACAGCCAAAACAGTATTAGATGATGGCGCAGGGTAAGAATGAAAACATTAAACTGCAGGAAAAGTCTGTCCATATGACTTTGTATAATCATAATGCATGCTGGGTAAAGGCTGATGGCAGAGTTTTTCACCAAATCACCTTTTGATGGAACATTTAAGACTGTATAAATCTGTATATATCTAAAACTAGTTTATTATAGACGGGCAGTAGAGGAACAATCTCACAACTGAAGTTCATACTGACCTCAGAAGTCAGCAAAGGCTCTTCCTTCCCTTTGTTCTTTTATACACACGGCTGAAAATACATTTGTCGCAGAGCAGTAGGATCCTCTTTACTTTACAAAGACATGTAGCCTGCTAAAGTTACCTTCAGTAACATCATTCGAGGAGATTCTGTGTAACTCTCTCAGAGCTCTGACAAAAAATCAAATCAAAAAATGTCTTAAAGTGGGATTTTAAGATATGAATTTTTGTCCTTGTCGCCCAGCCCTAGTTTGTACATTATAACAGTACTGTATGTATACATGTGTGTTCACAGAGTTACTCCATGGCAGTGTACTTGGTGAAGCAGCAGTCGTCCACAGTGTTGTTACAGAGACTACGGGCAAAAGGCATCAGAAACCCGGACCACTCCAGAGCACTCAGTAAGGACGGCCAACCTCTCTTAAAACACATCAGGACTGATACTGACCTTATATGTAAATGGATTGGATCCTGGCCAGACATGACATATCCACATTAATGCAGTGTTTATGTTATAATGTTTTTTTTTAGCACAACTCTCTCAGGCTTCATGATATCCTACATTAAAATAACTCCAATGAGTTTCACACAGTGGTGTAAGCAGATTTTAAATTTGGGAAAAAGAGAACTGGCTGGTGTCAATGAGGAGTCGATATCAGGAGATACCCTGAGCGAAGGTATTGGGAGAGACACAGTAGTAATGTTGCATCCCACCTCTTTTTCACAATGAAGATAACTGATCTGTTTGTGAAGTTTAGGCCTTACCCGTCCAACCAGATAAACCTAGTCAGATGCTGGCCAACATGTGTTGTTTCTTTTTTGCTCCATTACTTCTCATCTTAGGTAGAAATAAAATACACTTTCTTATTATCTGAGATTTAAAACTCTGTTATAAGCTAAGGAGCCCTATATATATATATCCATATATATTTTACACTGCATGGGAAGTGATATAAGAAGATTCAGGTGCAGATGGGACTCAGTCGGTCCAACACAGCATGAGGAGCTCTCCAATACATTTATAGAAACCTGCTTCATTCGTGACCTTGGATTGAAATATGTAGTAAAGAAGTTGCAGTCTGAAATGAGAACCTGAGCACGTTTGGGAGAAGAAGTCCTGCTGTTTGGCTCTCACTCACTCGTGTGTGTGCTTTTTTTTCTGCAGTCAAAGAGAAGCTAACAGCAGACCCAGACAGTGAAATCGCCACAACCAGCCTTCGAGTGTCGCTGCTCTGCCCGGTAAGCACGCTCCCTGCTCTTCATAAATTAAAGGCGGTGTTCAGTCATTCAGTCATGCCAAGACTTGTCTGTCCGTTCCTCTGCTTTGTATGTGTCTCAACACGCCTATATGTCCTCAACTTTGTGTTCTGTACACAAGCCACCTGTCTAATTGTCCTCTCAGCCCTTATCACGCATCTTTTCCATGTGGGTTTGGCTTGTTTGTGACATTTATGCATCCCGTATATACCCTCCATCCCTCACTGTGGGTGTCCTTTTCATGCCCTGACGACATGTGTGTGCACACTGTGCAGCTGGGGAAGATGCGGCTGATGATCCCATGCCGGGCACTGACATGCTCCCACCTGCAGTGCTTTGACGCCACACTGTACATCCAGATGAACGAGAAGAAGCCCACCTGGGTGTGTCCTGTCTGTGACAAGAAGGCCCCCTATGAACACCTCATCATTGACGGGTAAGTCACAGAACCCCCCCAAAACCCCCATCCTACAGACGGTCTGTTAGGAGACAGTGCAACAGATGTTCAAATCTTTAATCCAGAAACACAATATGTCATTTTTACTCTTTGGTTTTTGTACGTATTAAACACATATATACGTGTAAATTTGTGAGGCTTAGGCCCAGACACACCTAACTGACATCAAAGAACTAGTGGCGGCGGAGGCAGACTTTTGCTTCATCTCACATCCCCAATGTCTCAGCCAAAAAGTTGCACTTGAACACACCGCAAAGACCACAGCAATTGGCCAGTGGGTATGTTTGTTCTGTGCCATCATGATAGGAAATAACTCTCCATGCCAGCAGGTGGAGGTAGTTTGCGTTCATCATTAAAAAAGGCAAATCAGAAAACTAACAGGACAGATTCAAGATGCTCGTTAGCCAGTTAGCACAGCAATAACACAACCTGAAGTTCAAAGAACAAAGGATATTTACCATGTGCTAGCAAACAGTAACACAAACAATCACATATTGTTTCTTCACAGTGGCTAGAAAAATAATCTTAGATCTCCCGCCCTCTTGACTAGTCGTTTGTTTGCTTTCCCTACTTATGTTCTTGTGCACTGAGCTGAACTGCCAATCAGAGTGACTTCATTCACCGTCAGGCTCCGTTGTCTCCGACGCTGATTCAACAGGCTGATATGGCAAAAAAACAGCCAACCGTCGGCCTCCCGTGTCAGGGCGCTTAGAGGTGCTGGTAGGTGGCACTAGGCACTGTTTCCAGTCTTTATGCTATGCTAAGCTAACCAACTGCTGGCTATAGCTTCATATTCACAGACATGAGAGTGGTTTTAATATTGTCATCCAACTCTCAGCACAAAAGCTTATAACAGGGTTCCCATAGGAGCCTTGAAATCCTTGAGTGTTTGAGTGTAATTTTAAGGGGAACAAACAAGGCCTTGAAACAGTTTGAAAACAGACATAATTAGACACAGGTCATTGAAAGTACATGAGTTTTATATATACATAT